GTGTGTGTGTGTAGTATATGTATGTGTATATATATATATATATATATATATATATATATATATATGGCTATACAGGTTCGCGTGCGTGACTCATCACAGTATTGGGGTTCTAAACGTACCTCGTCGTGATAGCAGTGGATCGTTTAGAATGCGAGGTGTATCTATCATACATCAAACATATGACATAAAAGATGTAAAGCATATCCCCTTTTATTAACGCAAGCGTCAGTCAGTACAATCGCTATTTTACGCCAGTAGTACGTTATATAACAGGCTCAAAAATAATGCACACGATTGCGTCCCTAAACCTTAACAGTCCGATACACAACCCACGAGTCGATTCAGACGCTCCTGCAACATACATACATACATACTACTTATCAAACACAGACCCACAGAATACGCCCATATGTGCACCGTGCGGATACTTACCCTGTGTTGCAGGCTCCCCCTCCTCCACTCTATCACACACACACGCACGCCCTTCGCAGACCACGTGGTCAAACACAGACGCACGCAGCACCGGAGGCATGCACAGATCAAGCAACAACGGTGCCATATCTCTCAGCACGCGTTTCCCGCCAATGCTGTTGCTGCGGCGTCGTACGAGTGACATCCGTTGCCATGACAACGCCGACGCTCGCCGTTGTGCGTGAGAGCCAATCAGATCGCTTTCTGAGTTGGGGTTGGGGTGGGTCAGATTTTCTTGACTGCCTGTTTTGCTGTGAGCGAGCCCACCTCCCGAACTGTTCTGCTGATTGGGAGACGCACGTGTTTTGGATTGTGTGGGGGTGTTGGTGGTGGTAGGTATCTGGTCGTACGTTCTATTTATAGCCACCATACTGTCACCCAATAAGATTTCGCGGCTGGGAGTTGAGTCTGTGGTAGACGTGAAGCGATTGAGCGACCGCGATGGTTGTTCCCTGTAGTACCGAACATCTGGGGCCATGACAGATGCAGTTCCTACAATAAGAGAGAGGTCAAATACAGGTTAGCTGACAATTAACATGCTCGTACAAACATGGATAACTGAGCATACACAGTATATATCAGCGCATAGATACTCCGCTATGCTAGGTGCGCTGTTGTGTATTGGTGTGTGTATAGCTGCATATGTTTGGATATTGAAACATAGGCGTCGACACAGACTTACATAAAGACATGGGTCTTCTCACGAATACCATACTAAATGCAACATAGTCATATGAGTACATACATATATATATGTAA